AGATCCGGCTACTCCAGGCTCAAGTGGTGGAGACTCTCCTATATGGGTGCGCCTCGTGGAGCCTGGCAGCGGAGCACTACACGAAGCTCAATGGGACCCACCGCCAGTTCATTACACGGTGCATCGGCTGGATGGAGCAAGCGGATACGTCCAGACCGCCCCCTGTCCTATGCCCAGGCCCTCATCCAGGCAGGCTGCGAGGAAACCATCGAGGCCACCGTGCGCAAACGGATACTGTATTTCGCGGGCTTTGTTATGCGCATCGAGGACAACCGCCTCCCCAAGCGCATGCTGTTAGGAGCGATGGAGGGGGACGTGGGATACCGGGGCGGGCAAGAGGGCGACTGGGTGTCTCGTCTAGGAGAGGAACTCGTGGCCTTCAACATGGGAGACGAAAAGGAAGGGGGGAAATGGAAAGAGAGCGCCAAGTACCCGGAGGTGTGGTACAACAGGGTCGAGGACGGGGCGGCAAGGTTCATGAGGAAATGGCACAGGCAGGAGGCGGAAGCGTTCGCGAAGCGCCAGCGCGCGAGGCAAGCAGAAGCAGAGAGTACGGCCATCTCAGGACCGAAGAGAAAGAGAGTCGGGGAAGCGGCGGTGGGGGGGAAGAAACGGCGACCGGGCACTGCTGTAGGAGCGAGTAGGGCGGCCGAGGCAGCACTTGTGGCGAACTATATACCCGGCTGATGTTGCGCCCTGTTTCCCTCCCTGCTGTATGCTATACTCCTTCATGTATGTCCTTCGTTTTGCCTTCGGCCTCTGTGCTGTGTTTCTTTTTTTCATGTCCTCCCTGCCTACTCTGCTGCGTTGGGTACCTTGATCTCGCTTTTGCTGTTGGTATTGTTTTTGTACGTCTGGCTGTCTGCCCATCTGCCGCCTCTTTGTCCTGTTTGCTCCGTTACTCCCATGCCCTGGTGCGTAGTGCCTGGTGCTGGTACGTTACCCTTTGATTTTTTCTTTAGGCGGGTGTGGGAAGCGTGCTCCTTTTTTGTTTTTTCTTGTCTTTTTTTGATCGGTTTCCGAGGGCTCCTTTCTCGAACGGTCGGTGCGGTACCTGTTCTTTTGTTTCTGTAATTTCGTTTTCCTTTTCCGAGTGGTTTGTACCCTATTTTTGTTTTTTTTCCCCGCGGCGTCGTATGTGCCGGGTTTTGAGACCACGGGCTCCCCATTTTTTGTGGACTATTGAGCTAATGTGAGAAACAACAACAACAACAACAACAAAAAACAGGATTGTGTTGGGTTGCCTTGAGGCCGGCGGCGTGTGTCGCTGTCTGCCAAGAAGCAGCTCTTTGCCTTTTCCAAGAAATGCTCAACCCCAAACGGCGTCACCAATAGCCAGATGATCATGTATTTTCTAATCCAAGCCCGTGGATACTACATGCACATGGAGGCCCCCATTACCAGGTCATACCGTTAGAAAGGTGCTGCAGCTAGGAGTTGAATGCGGTTCTCTGGGTTCGTAGGCAGGGCGTAGGGGCGGTTCTAATGAGGCGTTTCTTTAAGGGCACCGGGTCAGTGTCTTATCTTTAGAATGATATGTAGCGGAACCACAAGTTAAGGGCTGCTGCTGAAGGCAGTGCCGCATCCAGCGTTAGTCATGGACTGACTATGCCCTCGCCCCCGTTTTTGTCCGCAGGTTACGGCTGCGTCATCGAAGCGCCACCATCTCACCCGGGTCTCATGGGGCTTGTGATGCCGTGGAACGATGCACTCACCCACAGGTGGCAAGTGTACTACTTGGTAGGTTTCGTCCCGTTCATTTTGGGCCGTGTCGCGCCATCGTGTTTGCTGCCGAACCATCACGTCTCAAAAAGTAGGTTGGCGTGGGACGCTCACCCACCACCGTTGCTTCGAGAGCTTGCATGTCGAATTGCCGAAATTGGTGCTTTGCTTGGCGTGGTGCGCTCTCTTGGCCGCAGCAGCCTGCCGAGGTGTTGGTCACGGCCGTCGACTATCGCCCTCACACACCGAACTTACGCCCTCTCCTGCTTCCGGTGTTGCTCCGTTCTGTCCTGAAACGCCGGGGTCCTACCACCCAACCGTCTCTAGCTGACTCTCGGCTTGCTCGTTTATCGTAGTAGGTCCTGCTGTACCTTCTACTTCCGTATCTATCACTCGCTCGCTTCATGGCTTGCCGTTTCGCCGTCGCTGTCGCCTGCTTGGTTCCGTCGCCCTCGGTATTGTCGCCCCCATTTCGGGAGTTTCCAGTGGTTCAAGGGTTCCTCCGTTTTGCAGCCGAACCCGACCTTGGCCTCCTTATAACCCCCCCCCCCCCCCCGCCGCTCTCCCCTGCCTCCGCCTCTTTGCGATACCTTGAAACGAAAGGATGCTAGTGTCCATGGCACGGGAGACTAGCTTTTTCATCTGTATTGGGCGAGACCGGTCTAGCAATGCTAATCGCGTTGTGCTTGGACCACGGGGGGATCCCGTCGTCAAGTAAGTCGCTCAAGGCAGACATGCTTGTCGGACATGTGTGTCGAAGGGGTATTTACGTGTTCGGGAGAAATTTGTGTGGACATCCAAGTGTTTCGGAAGACGTTTGTACGGACGACTTGTGTTGCGGAAAACGATTGTGTTAGAAAGCACATGTGCCGCGAGCTTCCGCCAGCAGCTCTTTGTTTAATGCTTACATATGATATCTACTGGCATGCCACTCATTGCTCGGTTCTCAGTTGTGTTCGCTGACATTTCTTTTGCGTCGCTTTGTTCTAAAGCATCTTTTTGTTGTCGTCGCCCGCGTTGTTGATGTTGTTGATATTGTTGTTGATGACGTTGTTCTTGTTATTGTTTTGATGTGGCAGTCTTCGGTGTTTCTGTTGCTGTATGTCTTCAGTTGAAAACCGTTTTGACGAATGCAGTGTGCAGGAAGGCGAGCGCATTGATTGATTTTTTTCTCTCTTTCAAGTTATCGCAACGAAGGGTACGCGTCAGTTCACTCATCTCGGCTTGTGGGTGCATTGCAACACTTTGCGTATTTCAGGTACGCTCTTGGTGAGGAGGATAGCCAGGTCATCCTCCAGGGAAGATCAGAAATGGTGAGCTCGTCCACGGTGTTCAGATCACCGTGCAAAGCGTTCTTGCAAAGTCAGCAGTTGACTGTGTGCGGTGCTTTGTGGACCAAGAATGGCGTTCTCATGGGTTCTCACCAGTACGGCGTTTACGTACGCGACGTAACACGAAAAGCTCAACCATGGCGCGGCTGACGGCTGTCAGCCGTCCATTCGGTATTCGCCGACCTTACATGGTTTCCCTTGTGGTGCTTGTGCGTTCCCCTCCAACTGCTCGTGGACGTTCCAAATGCCATGTTGCACCGCTGAACCTACGAAGCCTTCTCGTTTTTGTCCAAAGTCAGTCCGATTGGCTGCAACCGATTGTACTTGATGCCTTCAGCGGTCTCAGTTTCATTTGTTTCGCTTGGTTTCGTCTTCATTTGCTGAATAGCTCCGGATGATGCGGAAAGCGGGGGCATCCCTTCTGATACCGGCACATGAGGGCGCTCCGTGGTTTTGTCCCACAGGTGCGGTGACCCCTCACTTGAAACAATTCGCTTGTGACGCCCACGGTCCCCACGTATGTTTCGCCCTTCTCAGGACGAGTCCACGCATGCATGTTATTTTTTCGTGTTGGTTGGTGTGTAGATATAGCTCGCTTGCGTCGACAAGCCAACACTCGAGCGCAATACCACCCGCCATGAGATGTAAGCAAGTATAGGGGTTAAGCGGAAAGGTGTCCTTGTTTCGTCCGCGGGTAAAGGGCTTGGCGCCCCTATTCGGTCGTGTACTCGACGTTTCCCGTACATTCTAGGGTCGCCCTTTTCTCAATTAGCTTCTTACCGCAGTATCGTTGGACACAATGTGGCCATGCACATGAACCCGTCAACCCCCTGACGACCCTCCCTCCCCCCATCGCAGTCGATGATATGGACATCATAAGCGCCGGCCGCCTGCCTGCACCAATGCTTTGTTTTTGTTGTCCTCTCTGTGCTGACTGGCCCTAGATGGGAAAGAGGGAGATGAAGACTTGGAGGGGTATGTTGAGGCCATGGAATCGCTCGGCACCACCCCGAACGAGGTGTGGACTGGGTCCTCATTTGATTCAATCCACTTTCTTTTTCGGTGTCTATTGTGCAACTGGCGCGATCTGTGCATGTGTCACGGTTCGTCACGCTGTTCCGTCCGGATACCAACCCTGGTGGGTAGATTCTCATTGGTACAAACCGTTTTCGAAGTACGTAATCTGTTGTGCCGTGGTATTGTGTCTTTGTGAGGTCGCGGAACGTTATTGTACGTTCTGCGGGAAGACGATTTCAGGCGCATCCAATAGAACCCAAAACAATTTCCAGTGTGCAGGGCGACCACGACGAGAGGAGTGAAAGCCAATCACGGCGCGCTCTCCCTCGTGTTGAATGTATGCGTTGGCATAGAGAATTTCAAAAATATGTGCATGCCCCGTAAGCGAGGGCGGGAATGTCGTGTGGCCATTCGTGCAAAGGAACCCGTAACTCCGCGGACGCGTTTGTAACATGAGATCAATCTGGTGCAGACATTTACTAGCACCAAATAAGGTTTGGGAGCGAAATAGTGAATTTGACGTACATTTGTATGCCTACGCGTTGGAACAATCAAATTGATCTGATGTCGGCATTGGCACAATAATGATGCAAGAAGTCAGCTCAGAGGAAGTCGAACACATATCTGATCGCAATTTCACGTGAATAGTTGGCCTGATCATGGCCAAAACGATGGCAGTGCAGCGAAGTGCCTGTGCTCTATCGTGCGTCCCTGGAAATGCTTTACTTGGGGAAATGCGTGCCTCTCAGCACGACGCAAATCTACTGTTTTCCAAGGTGTCGACGTTTGCACCCACAGGCTGGCCTGTACTCAGCTCACCAAATGGGCTCGTGCCGCCTTAGTGCCAACCCGGAAGACGGGCCTCTGAGGGAGTCCGGCGAGTCGTGGGAGTGCGACGGGCTGTTCGTGGCGGACGCTTCGGTTTTCCCGACGTCGCTCGGGATAAACCCTATGATCACGGTCGAGGCTGTCGCGTACATGATTGCTAATCAGGTAGATATTGCGCCAGGGTTCGTAAAATTTGATCGGGGAATGTTTGACCGTGTTGCCGCCATTTGTTGTTTTCTCATTCTTCGTGGTCGTTCGTTCTGACGCAATCGCGCACGAAGCATCACGAAGCATCCCAATGCTGACAACATTGGCGGCACTATTGGTGGAGTTGAGTGTTGTTGCGATTCGTGCTGCTGCGTTGAGCGGTTAAGTTGCCAACGTGGACCGACTATTCCTTTCGTTTCGGTCGCTGGGTCGTAGCTCTCTGTTGCATCGCCCACCCCTTGCCTGGACCATTGGCCACCTCGAAGCTGAGGCGTTCCTGGAGTGGCGCTGTGTCTGCCATCGTTGCGGAACCGCCATCCGTGGTTTCCCGCGTGTCTGACGGGACCCGCCTTATCGTGTCGCAGCACGGTAGTGCGGCTTTCGTGACAAACCTGAAAGTGCTGCGTCCAAGGATGAAGGATTCGTTCCCGCGTATGTGCGCAAGTCCACCCGCTACGGCTTGTTGTCTGTCATGGCCCTTCTCGTCCTCACCTTGGGTGCCTCCTTGGTGTTTTCGTGCGTCGTCGCCACCAGGTTGCAACACGGCTCGGCAAGGACTCAGAGAATTGGAAACCCCGCGAGGAATCCTCACCACTGAAGCGGAGAATCAAGACTCTCGGGAAGGCCATGGTGGCGGCCATTTCGCGAGAATCTAACTCTACATCAGACGCGGACAACGCCGGATCCAGTCTAACCGCCCTTCGAAGGAGCAACAGCCGCGGAGGCAGCAACAAGAAGCTTGTGCCTGAGGAAGGCGGGCGAGGAAGCGACCAGACTATCATTCGAGTGCCAGGCGGCGAGGCAGCGGCGGAGCGGTGCGTGTTGCCGCAGTCCACATTGGCGGTCAGCGCTGGGGGCGACGCCGCTGCGGGAATGGGGGACGACTTCGGAGTCGAGGTTTCTGATCTTTACTGGTGAAGAGCTCGTAGCGCCAGCTAACCGTCTGATTTGTGTGTCGTTGATTGCTATTCAAGACGTTTCCGACTTGGGATGCCGATGTTGGTATTGATTGCCAAGGCCAGGAGCCCAGCGTGGTTTCCATGTTTGTGTACAGGCAGGACCTGAGTTGCATTTGCGTTGACGTTTGCGTCATCTGATGGCGCGGATTGGTTGAATAGCTCACGTGTCTGCTGCAGAACAGGCCCGCGATTAACAAGTATTCTGTTGAGACGCTAGGTAGGGTGAAACATCCACGAAGGTGCGCGCTTTACGTCGGGCCTTCCTTTGTTGCTTCGTTCGGGGAGGGTATTCGGGGGGTTGGGTTAAGCATTCCTTCTCAACGCAGACTAGGTTGGCTTAGTGGCTAGCGTCTTCTGAAGAAGGCAACAGTGTGTTGATGACATTCCCATGTCGACGATTTGAAGGGGCAAACATTGATTGTTTTCGCCACGTTTGCCACACATTCGGAAGATTCCTGGCGAGCATCACTTCAACTTGTTCAATGATGGCAACCTTGTGCTGCGCACTGACACGACGTTATTGGTCGAGAAGTGTAGACGCGGACGACAGAAATGAGCCGTAGGTGATAGAATTCGGTGGTAATTTGTCCTTCCAAGCGCGTCCTCCCTATCGCTTGGACCTAGAACTATTGGAAGTAGCGAGTCCCGCGTTTTTTTCTGGAAATAGTCTAGACGAAGGCAGAAATTCGCTGGTCGTTATGACTTCAATTCTGATTTTAACGCATTTCGTGGCTTCTTGTTGGCAGTTTCGATGAGAAAAATTCGCTAGTCAAGGAACGTGGGGGAGAACCAAAAAGGAAAGGCAACAGGTGTGACATCTCATGGCTGTTGGGTGAGTTATTATTCCGGGGGATGCAGTACTGGCTCGAGGCACTCTTCATTCGTGAAATGCGTTTGTAAGGGTTTTTAGAGGCCTCCCTAACACTTACCTCTACCGGAAAGCTCCGAAGATGCATCGATTGTTGGAAGCGTAGGGATACCTCGCCGAAGTAAACTCTTTGGCGGCTGCCGGCACTTTCCGTCAACATGGTGAGAGCTTCTTGGTACCATTGATGTGTATTGGACATCGAACTACACGTTCTTTTACTGTGCATGTGCCCGCCGATTGCCTGATACCTCCACTGTTACGAACAATTGTCCCAACGCCATCGCACCTGGCAAAATACACAACGGCGATAACATCTCCGACCACGATTCCCTTCGACGTTCACACTTTTGTACCCTATTTTTTTCTGTTTCTTCGTGGGGTCGTGTATGCCGGGTTTTGAGACCACGGGCTCCCAGTCCTTTTTTTTTTTAGAGCTAATGTGAGAAACAACAACAAACTCTCACGCTCCAAGCGCCGCACTCTATTCGCACGTCTAGTGATAATCACATGGCATGACCATGGTTCACTTCTAGTCTACACCATCGAACGCTTTATCTGCTACCCGGCAAGGCCCAAGTCTACTGTTGTAATCGTGTCCCTCATCTAGATCATTCGATGTAAGTATTGGACTGGGTTAGGGCTAGGCCTCCTGCACAGACAGGAGGGCCTCGCTGTGAAGTAACTCTTCGGGCTGGGGCGCCTTCCGGTGTATGCCGGGGAGGGGTTGAGATTGATAATGTTACCAAACCACCTAAGCTCTGAAAATTCAGTTGTGGGTTGCTGTCGGTGTGTAGATGCGATATTCGGTCTCATACTTTTAATCCGGGGTTGGGAAGGTGGGTTTTCAGCGAAACTTGGTGATTTATCTTACTCAATGTATAGGGAAACGCAAATCAGGGGAAACGAACTTTCTGTCCGCCCCCGGGGACAAAACGGGGATTTGCCCATATCTTGCCCATTTTAAGCGCTTTTTTGACCGCTGTTCCGGTAGAACAAACCCTACAATTTTTGCAAACTTACCTGGCCACTTTCGACCNCTTTCTGTCCCCCCCCGGGGACAAAACGGGGATTTGCCCATATCTTGCCCATTTTAAGCGCTTTTTTGACCGCTGTTCCGGTAGAACAAACCCTACAATTTTTGCAAACTTACCTGGCCACTTTCGACCAGGGGACACGAAATTTATGTCCCCCCCCCGGTGTTTGCCATCGGGGTTGGGTTTTCGTCGCTTGGCAACGACGTTGTAA